GGCAGAGAGCCACACCACTTCCAGCCTCACAGCAGGGTAGATTCATATTTTGAAAGTGCTCTCTCCCCTCTCCTGTCCTGCCAGGTTCTGCAGCCTCGGAAAACACTCCTGGTCTTCACCTCTGCCATGGGTGACAACTCCAAGAGGCTGAGGAAAATCTAACTACCAGCCAGTTGCTAATCTCCCTTTCCTGAGCAACGTTGTGGAGCAGGTGGTCGCAGACCTGATCCAGGCACTCTTGGAGGAAACTGTTTTTCTAGATCCATTTCAGTCAGGGTTTAAGTCCGATTTTGGCACAGAAACTGCTTTGGTTGCCCTGTACGATGACCTCTGTCAGGAGAGATAGGGGAAATGTGTGTCTGTTACTCAGGTGGCCTCAGTGGCGCAAAGTGCCTTCCATCAAGCTTCGGCTGATGTACCAGCTACATGCTTAGCGGGACAGGGATAGCCTAACTACTGTTGCCTATGCTCTGGTAACTTCAAGGTTAGATTACTGCAATACATTACATGTAGGGTTGCCTCTGAAGATGGTTCAGAAACTTCAGCTAGAGCAGAATTCAGAGGCCTGGTTGCTCACCAGGGCAAGACAATTTGAGCATATTACACCGAACCTGGTTTGACGGCACTGGCTACCAATTAGTTTCTGGGCCCAATTCAAACTGTTGGTTTTGACCTATAAAGCCTCAAATTGCTCAGGACCAGGATCTCAAGCACCACCTCTTTTCATATGAAACTACATGGACCCTGAAATCATCTTTTGAGGCACTTCTTTGTGGCAACATCAGAACGGGCCTTTTCTGCAGCAGCTTCCTGTTTGAGGGATGCTCTTCCCAGAGAGGTTCACCTGGCGCCATTATAATACACATTTATGCGCCTGGCAAAAATGTTCCTCTTTAACCAGACATTTGGTTGATTGCAATCCAATGCCCTTCTAAAATGTGTTGGGTGTGGGCAGTTATTAGGTTGTTTTTGGTTTTTTCATGTATTTTATGAGATGGCCACAAGGAGGTCCAGGGCAGAATAGTGATAGAGACCACCACCAGGGTGTGGGCCACCTGCAGGTCCACAGGAAGGTCCAGCAGGGAGTCATAGATCTCGCACTGCATCTGGCAGGTGCTCTTGTAGACGCAGTTCATTCACAGCCTACCAACTCGTGTGCGTTGTGACGTCAAGACCATCTCGCTCTCTTTTTAAAATAATTTTTATTAATTTTCCTAATTATTACAAATCCTACCAAATTACTTTAATTTAATACAATTTCTTAAAATCAGGTTTCCTGCTCCTGTTGCAAACATATGTCAATCGTTTCCTCCCATATGTGCATCATTTCTTTTTTAGTGTCCAGTTGTCATCTGTCACTCTCCATTACATCATTCTTGCAGCTGACCACGTTTCCTCCTTACAAACAGCGTCTCTGTTGCATTTCACGTGTGTAACCTTTAAAGTACCTTGTTGTTTCAGACCTGGTGTGCTAGGAGAGTTAATAACTATCTTCCATTGTTCAGTTCTTTGCAGTGTTTATCTGGATGGTACAAGGTCACATTCCATTCCTTCCACTAGCGTACAAACTGCGACCATAAGTAACTCACAGAGTACATGTCCAGTCTCCGCCATTAAAATTCCGCTCTGGAGTTCTTCCTCGGCACACAAAATCTTTTCTCAAATTCAGCTTCTTGCCAGATCTATTCGGCAGCCGTTCATTCTTCTTGCTCTGTATTGCTCCATCACACTCCTTGTCTGGTCCAAAAATAATTTGAAATAAAGTCCATTCAACCTTGGCTGTCTCCTATCAGAGGAGGGAGGGTCAGAATTCACGGAAACCTGACACAGATTGAGGAACCCAGCACAAATCATGCCAGAGACTGAGACACTTCCATGCCAGGGACACACTCCCAGGACGCACCCGTTCTGCCCTTCAAGATAGCAGACATAGACTTGAGTGGCGCAGCGGGATGCAGTGAACTCCACAGACCCTAATGGGAACATTCCCAGAATCTTTGCCTCATAAATCCTGGTTTTTCCCTGCCTGAACCTCCTCGCTCCCTGTTGAGGGTAGCAAGGGGTGACCACAATTGACTCGTGATGCAAGCCTGACCCCCTCCCCGCCCCCATCTCAATGACTGGTTGGTGCATATGGAAGATGTGGAGCCAAGTGACTTTTACAAGGGACATGGGCAAAATTGCTGCTATGCTAAAAGTGAGAGGTAGCTGCAAGCCAATTGACCCTTTAACATCAGCTTAAATCTGGAAATTTCCAGACATATGAAGAATCTGTGGTGGGTTAATGGCTTCCCTGGCAGTCCCAGAAAATTAAAGGCAATTGAGGTGTATGTTACTCCTTGAGGTTTACCATGAAAACCCCTCTCACTAATGAGAATACCCACAAGGCAGCAGAGAATTAAGGTCACAGTGTTCCATTTTGCTAATTCTGCATCTTGTCCTCTAAAGAAGATAAAGGAAGATGATTATATATATTGTGTTCTCATGTTGTACTTTTATGTTCTGAACTGCCTGTGATCTACTGATGAAGGGTGGTATACAAATAATAATAATAATAACAATAACAATTAACAAATAATAACAAAAGGAGAACTTCCCCATAGCTATTAGGATTTCCCACAAATCCCAATTACACTCAAGTTTCTGGAAGGACTTTCTGGGAACCTAACAGAAAGCCTCTTCTTGGAATGTCTGGGTGGAGCTACTGATGGGAAACAAAGTCTCCCAGGATGCTATATAAGCAGGCCTGGTGGCCCACATGCCATTCACACTGAATCCTAAAATGTGGGCCAAGATCTTCTTACCATTTGTGGGACTCCTTTGCGGGGCCAGCCTGCCACTGACTTCTTCCCAGGCTGATACAGGTGAGTTTGCTTCTCTTTCCTTCCTTTTTGCAGCCTTCTCAGGCATGTACCTGAAATCTGGGTATCTGGAATCACCCTTAGAAACAGAGCAATAACAACCCTTGGATTCTCTTCCTCCAACTTTTCTGCTTATTTGCCAGCAGTAAACGGGATAGTCATTCCAAAGGGACAGATCCCATGGTTCCAAAACAAATACCCTTTTATTAAGATTTGTAAGTGCCTGTTAGAGGAGACTCTTGAGAGTCCCTTGGACTGCAAGAAGATCAAACCTATCCATTCTTAAGGAAATCAGCCCTGAGTGCTCACTGGAAGGACAGATCGTCAAGCTGAGGCTCCAATACTTTGGCCACCTCATGAGAAGAGAAGACTCCCTGGAAAAGACACTGGTGTTGGGAAAGATGGAGGGCACAAGGAAAAGGGGACGACAGAAGACGAGATGGTTGGACAGTGTTCTCAAAGCTACCAGCATGAATTTGACCAAACTGCGGGAGGCAGTGGAAGATAGGAGTGCCTGGCATGCTCTGGTTCATGGGTCACGAAGAGTCGGACACGACCAAACGACTAAACAACAAACGTGCCTGTTTCTGTGTGCTGAGGTCTCTGAGGACATTCTGTGTGCTGAGGACATTCTTCTGATGGGGCAAAAGAGGCAGGGCTCTCACAAACTATGTAGCTGAAATTATTTAGCTGAGATTCCTGCATTACAGGGGGAGGTTCTATCAGGGAAGTTCTATCTATACAGGGAGTGCAGCTATCATCAAGCCTTGATTGAAGAACGATACAGTCCTATCTGGGATGGTCTTCCTCTTCCACTGAACATGCAGCTTAGGGAGGGACACACATGAAACAGGGGGACACCTGCCTAGCCAGCCAGGTCAGTCAGATCAGCCCTGGCGATCAATGGGGTGACAGATGTCTCAGTCAGATCACCCTCACATCCGTCTTGAGACGTCTCCTGGGGCTCCCAAGTTCAATCATGTATGAGACAATGTGTGCAGAACTAGGTATACACACGATGGAATATTGGGTGTGGACTAGCACTATAAAATACGGGTTGCATTTCCATTTTGTTGCCAACCTTACATAGGAACTCTTACATAGGAAAATCAGATCTATTGGTATTCAAATCAGATCTTCAAACCCTTGTGTAATTTGAGTGAGCAATATATTTATTGCAATAATCAAAACAGATTAAGGTACATTGGGGGGGGGACATCAAGTCAGGTGTAAATAAAATTTGCTCCCCCGAGATAACAGGGTCACATATCTCAAAATTAATTTCTGTACAACTCAGGACCTTTATCGTAGCCCGACTGAATGTTTTTCCTTCAGCTTTTGTCAAGGGCAGATTTTTAAATATCCCCAGAAATGATAGACATTGTGGATGTTCTTTGAATGTGCCAGACACTGAAGAACATATCCTTTTCTACTGTCCATTTTACAACCTGCTACACAAACGCATGCTACCCCCTCCCCCTTTTTGGGTAGTCTAACATCACGGCACAATGAAAATTTCCGATTAACCGGAATTAACTGCAAGGGGGGCTGAGGTTTTGTTAATAGTATCTCTTGGAGTGCTAAATGGCACTATTTAGCGGGAAGAAATCCCAATGAAGTTCCTCATCATTATATATTTTACATGGCTGTTTATTTGTATATATTTTAAATGTTTTAGGATGCCCTATATTTGTAATGCCTAGAAAAGTTTTGATGACGTAAGTAGGTAAGCATTACATGGGGTTGGACTAGATGAGCATTGGGGTCCCTTCCAATTCTAGAATTCTATGAGTCCACGAAAGAGAATATGCATGGGAAAGAGAGTCAGAGAAAAGAAAAATCACAGGGGTGTAGAGAAGAACAAATGGCAGACAAAAGCAAGACTGGAAGGACTGAGATGAAAAGTAGTGGTTTTAACCTATGGCATTTATTCATTTGCTGATTTTTAAATCATTTCTAAGCTGCTTAAATCTTAAACAGTGCACTAAGCAACATAAAAACTGTAAAGCAATACCATAAAACCATAAAAACGGTAATATAAAGTCATTAAAAAAACAGGAATTTCATCTGTCTGTCTGTCTGTCTGTCTGCCTATTTTGTTCCCTTAGGTGAAATATTGGTGTGCACTCTCTGCTGGCTCTGTCCCCGAAGGCATGATGATTATGTGGCAGGCAGATGGCCAATCAGGTAACACCTCCGGCATCATAAGTGCAAGCATTGGTAGCACAGCATACTTCAGCGCTGAAGTACTACCCGTTTCGCAGGTGAACACAGGAACTTTCGCAGATGAATTTCAGCTGAAGTTCGTCTGTCGAGCATCCCTACCTGGGTCCCAAACAAATGTCAATGAACCTGAAGGTAAAAACTCTCAACACAGTTGGGACATAGTTTTCCTTTGAAAAGCATGGTTTGGGAGAGGGATGATTGTTTCCAGATTGCTTAAAATCGTCTCAGGGACTCACCATTTCAAGACTGCTTCCTCCTTAATTCAGAAATTTATTTCAACAACAACAATCTTTATTACGGTCCAGAGACCCAACAAAACATTACAAATCAATACACAGTTCATACAGCCTACTCCAGGTTAATCAAGCATTTTGTTTAGAATATAGGGCTCATTTGTTCTTGCAACCACCGATAAAAACTTTGCCACTGCCAATGTTCTAGCTTTTGTCCGGTCTTCCAGTAGGAACCTGACATAGTGAGCCTCTTATTTTCCCGGGAAAAGGCACCAGCAAGGGTAGTATCAGTTCAGCCCTGGCCTGCTCATACTTAGCACAATGCAACAAAATATGAATTATGCAATCGATGTCTTGAGCACACGAGCAAAGTCTGTCCTGGTAGGGAACTCCTCTCAACCTACCATCCAGCACTGCAGAAAGGAAGACATTTAGTCTGGCTTTGGTTGAAAAGCCTTCGATAGTTAGGTTACTGTCAGGTTTTTGATGTAAGATGTTAACTCAAAGACATACCCATATTGAACTCCTGCTGCCAGCGGACTACAGACTGCGTGTGATCGAGATCGCAAGTCACTGTGTGCATTGTCCTATAATCTTTGCTTTAAAACCTTTTGGGCGCCTTCATAACCCAGGTAATACAGTTGGGGGGGAGACAGACCAATAGAGGTGGCTTTTTTAGCCATGGTTTTCTGCCATTTGCTGACAGATTCCTCATTGGTCAAATGTTGGTACAGACCCTTCCCTAGATTAAACACTGAAATCCTGAGCCAATGTTTTAGGGCAGCCCACCACGCTGTAGCTGAAATTGGGCATTCACCAGCTTCCAACAGAAGTACGGAGTTGGGGACGCAGTTAGGTACCTGCAGCAGAGATCGTATAAATTTTGCCTGAAAGCCATCTAGCTTTGGCAGGTCCCCATTATGCCAGACATTTGCTGCATACAGGAGTTGGGAAACAGGCTTTGCATTGAAAACCCTTAAGGCTGCTAGAACATATTTGACGCCCTTTGTGAAGAAGAATCTATGTATGGCTAGCTTTGTAATCTCCACCTTTTGAAGGGAGGTTTGCCAATGGTGCTTCCAAAATCCTGTATGATGGAATGTGAGCCCTAGGTAACTGAAGTATTTTACCTGTTCAAGGTTATGGCCATCCAGCACCCATTTAGACTGGGAGAATCTTCTTTCGAAGACTAAAATTTTAGATTTTTCATAATTAATGGATAAACCATTTCCAGAACAGTAATCAGAAAATTTCCTCAACAGATAATTCAAACCCGGCCTGGAATGCGAGATGATGGCCAGCATACAACAACAAAGGGTCCTTCTCATTCCTATTTTTGGAATGTGTCCATCTGGGTCCATTAAGTTCTCTTCTAGGGAAATTTATTTCTGCTTTCCATTATGGCCTGTTGAGATAAGACTTTCCCCACCAGTTGCCATGATATCAGTGCTAGTATTGACTAAAGGCACAACTTGAAACTGCAATCAGTCCGGTGGAGGTCTGAACAGTAATTCTCCTCTTATCTCTGCAGAAAGCTTTTCACCGTTCTTGAACAATACTAAATGCATCTTTTTATCAGAAAGTAACAATGGGAGAAGGAAAGGAAAGAATGTGTACCCTGCAAGGGCCAAGGTGTCTCCAACAATAATTTCCACCCTCATTAAAAACCATTCCCACCTCCAGACAAGGATCCTTCCAACCTTCATCTGCCTGTTAATGTTTACCCAGCATAGGGTGACCTGGATGAACAGATGGTGCCCTTCTGTTGGAGGCAGATCCCACCCATCAGGCTGGGCTTCTTCAGCCATTCTGGGCAGCTCCCAACAGAATTAAAAGTACAACAAAACATCAAACATTAAAAATCTCCTTAAAAAAGGGATGCCTTCAAATGTCTTCTAAAAGTCAGATAGTTGCTTATTTCCTTGACATCTGATGGGAGGGCGTTCCACAGGGCGGGCGCCACTACTGAGAAGCCCCTCTGTCTAGTTCCCTCATTGAGGGTCAGCATGTGAACACTCAAGTATTGAAGGACAGCAGCCAGGTGATAGTTTCCTACTCTGACTGAATCAATGACACCATGAAGCTCACCCAGAGGCCTGAGGAGAAAATCCAGGGAGAAAAATGATGCACACCCCTTCCTCAACATCGCAAGCTCTCCAGCCTAAACTACATCTTTCTCTTCAGCCTATCCCAGATTCAATGATTTCCATGCTTCATCTACAGATAAATAAAATCTCAATATCTCTCAGCTTAATGTACATCACAGGGGTTCTGTAATGATAATATAGAGAGGCGTAGTAGTGTGTATGCTAACTTCAGCTCTTTGGAGAAACGGTGGGATACAAATCAACACTAGATGAAGCATATCCTACTGTATCTATCCCATCTGGGGACAAATTTCTGGTGAACGGAGCATGGGCCACCTGTCACTTTTTAGATTAGCAAATGGAATGTCCTGTATTCTTCTGATTCTGCCATAGTATGATAGAAAGCTTAGACCATTCACATATAATATTAAAAGGGTAGTTGCAAAATGCCCCCATTGAACATGTTGATTTCTGTTCCTTCCTGGAGTGCAGTTCCTATGGGGATCTCTTAGCCACCTGCTACTTATTATTATAATGCTGCAAGGAACAGTGGAGAGTCATTATCAAATCTCAAAAAAGGAAATAACAGATTTGCTTTTGGGGGTGGGGTTGAGGAACAGCACTCAAATGGTAAAGGGCTAATCACTGGCCTCCTAGGATCATGGAAGCCCCTATAATTTGTTCCAACTGCACAAAGCTCCAAAGACTTGCCAGAGGATACTAGAAAATGATCAACCAGTAAACCTGAAAATTGATATAAATACCCCCCCCCCCAGCAATGTACACCCGAGAGTAGGTGAAAAGGTGGGCAGGGCTCCGTCACTTTCCTTTCATACGTTTCCCCATTTATTCCACCTTACATCAGCTAACCTTGCTAGCACTTAAGGCATGCATTGGTGTCTCAGTCAAAGACATAGCTGCTGAATTTCTCTTAAGAGATGGGTTAGCAGAATTAGCCACCAACCTATGTAGACTGTTAAGTCTGGTACTTTCTGTTTCTGTACAGAGGAGATTCTCAATATAGAGGATGCTTTGCTGATTAGATGTTGTGGCTTCTGATAGCTCTACCTTTGTTGCTTCCTATGGGGTACAAAGTAGATACTCTGGAGTATCCCAGAAACGATCCCCACCCTGTTCCACATGAGTGGTTCCAGCCAGGAGCTCTCTTCATTGGTGGAATTGCTTCTCAGTTAGTTTACCATTCTCATGAAGTTTCATTCAGTGAACATCCTTCTCAGAACCAGCTTGATGTTCCAGAGTAAGAAATTGCTTCGTTTGCTCTGCATCTTTTGTAGCTGCTCAGATCACAGATATATTTTTAATGTAAATGACAGAATGTTAAGTGTGTGTGTGTGTGTGTGTGTGTGTGTGTGTCCGTCCATATGTGAGTATAGGTTTGACCTATCCCCCCCCATAGAATATATTAGAAATTACCAATAATGTGATATGATAGCAGGAAACATACTCGTTATACAAAGGGATGAACAAATTCTACCTCTATATGCAGAATGGTGACAAAATTCTACCAGCACATCCTTGCTTTGGCATTTGCTGTGAACAAAATCAATGAGAATCCGAAGTTCCTACCCAATGTCACACTTGGATTCCATATCTGTGATAGCTACTACGATGCAAGGATGACTTATTGTACCACTTTGGATGTACTCTTCAAAAAAAAAGATAAATTTGTTCCCAACTACCAGTGTGACAGACACAAAAAGCTCATGGCTACATTGGCGGACTTGGCTCTGATACCTCTAATCAGATTTTCCTACTCAGGGCCACACGCACAATGACTTCAGCTGAAGGCACTTTAACTCCTTAAAGTTACTGAGTATTTAACACCCCACCCGCGGTCTTCTGTAGAGATTTGAAATGTCAGAGAATCTAAGAGATAATAATCAGCACTCCTACCAAACTGCAAGCCTCCATGATTCTCTGGGGAGAAACTGTTATGTACTGAAGTTCTCACCCTGGGCCAGCAGGGGGATACTGTAGATAGTTATGCAAATGAAGGATCGAAAAGTGACATTTAGTGATTGGATAGTTTTGTATGCAAATGAAGGATCGAAAAGTGACGTTCAGTGATTGGATAGTTTTAGAACGTTGCAACAGTTACAATTGTTCTGTAGCTCTATATAAGCAGGCTGACTGAGCTCCTCGGTTTAGTTCTGTTCCAGCTTACAAAATGAAGAGCTGCTTTGGGGAAATCGCTATGTCGTCTGCTATGTCAACCCACAACTTAACAGAAACCATGACATTTAAACCATTGCAGGGATTGTAACCTGGATATAAAAGAGTGAGGAGTTAGAGTTATTGAGGAGGCTTACAGATGCATTTTTAAAGCAGTTTTTATACCACTACTGATGAATGTGAATGTTACAAGACAGGGGCTCCTCTACTCCTTGGGGAACATGTGTCATTGAGAGGAGCAATATTTCCTGACCAGAAAGCAGAATGCAGGTAGATTCTGGGAAAGCCTCATGTAGTTTCAGATAATATGATCAACGAGTTGGGATAAAGTTTGGGGACGTCTTGCTGCTGTGAAGCTGGTGTGAAAAATAAAGAAAGGAGGCACGTCCTTCGGAATAACCCTGCCATGCTGAATACATCAGTTGCTGAAAGCATGGTGCTGATATGGCCCAGGTGGAGTTCCCACCAGCTCCTGCACTTTGAATTGGCCAATGAGAGGCCTGCTCAGGTGAGAGGGGATGCGTCGCTGCTGAAAGGCCATTGGCTGCCCACCTGTCAGGGCAGAACAGAGCCTGTTGAGTCTTCTGCTGCACTGGTTTTAAGTACTGTATTTTTCGCA